ATGTTCCAACAATTAAGGCTCTTTCATTATTGTCACCGAAGTCAGCAATCAATAGACGATCCCAATTATCATCCTTCTGGAATTCATCGGGTAGATTATGCCTAGCGTCCATTATGCCTAACGTCCTTTATGCCCAACGTCCATTATGCCTAACGTCGTGTACCCGTTTTGAAATAGTACTGACGGTAATTAAAATTATCTATCCGTAATTAATGTAATTAAAAGTAATTACGAAATTTAAACTGTAATTAATTGAGTTAAAAAGTAATTAAAGCAGTAGTTAATGGAATTAATTTAATTACAGCCGTTGCCTGCGTTGGAGTTAAAGGTTATTGCGACAGCCCGCATTGCCGTGCAGGTACCGTGTGTTGGCAGGGTCCAATATTGGACAGTTTGATGTTTATAAAGTACCATCAGTTAAAACTGTATTTTTGAGCTTTATCTCTATACATTCTTAGGTGTTTTTTAGCAGATTATCATGTTATTGTACGTTGATTCAAAGAGTAAATGGTATTAACATTGAGCTGCCCATACTTGGGCGTTGTTGAACTTGTGGTACTTGTGGTAGCTTTGAATGTGGATTCAGAGTGAGACAATGTAACTGAGATATGGTTGGTTGGGTATTCAGATGAAACTATTAATTTGGAGAACTAATCCTGGTTGTATCTCTTTTTCGTTTGCATTTAACACTATTTGATAATTTGATATTACTAATCATATCAAATCATAGAAGCCCCGGAACGAGTGTATTGTTAATGATGCTTCAAAGTCGGTTTCTGTTATGGTTGGTATCACAATAAAAAGAGGTATTTAGTATTTGGCTGATTTCAATCGACTCGCATAAGTCATCATCTAAGAGCCATCTCATCTTTATCTATTTTATTGCTGCATGAAAGGTGTATAATTGGTCATCAACATTACACTGGCGACCAGGCTCAATACCCCCTCCAGCATGGTACAAGAACAATAACAATATATAAATAATCCAGTTAATATTCAAACAAACCACTAAAAACCTGTATAGTAGCATGGTGGAGTCGGAATTTGAGACAAGCAGCTACTCGGACTGGGAGAGTGATTCAGAAGACCTAGTTCCATCAGACTTCCTCGGATTTAGTGATGAGGATCCCATCATGAGAGGAACCGATTCTGATGACGAGGTCGGTCCGAGGCAACGACAATGACAACCCACAAAGCATCCTCAACCAACTGATGATTCAGCAATAACAATCCACACAGCATCCCCAGTCAACCGATGATGATTGAGCAACACAAGTAAGCCCAGAATTCATAGGTAAGTTCACACAATCGTTATATTAACATGCTTTCCCAATAGGTCACTACTCAAATGTGTTAGCAGTGCATATTCGACCACCATTGGTTATCTCTTCTGGCGTTCGAGTAGTGGATTTATTGGATAGAGCAAGCCTTGACAAATGAGCTCCAAAAGGGCTGCAACCTGTAGTCTACAAAAAAAAAGAAGACTATCAGCTGATCAGAGATCCCCATGATAACCTCAGGCTTTGTCAAGAATTCAGGTTGATTAGGCATCATTCTGAAAATATTCAACTATTCAAATCACATCTCTCAGATATTCTCTCTATGATACCAGGCAAGACCGTCATCTGTTTTAAGATTTCCATAGAGTCCTCCGGGTACTTTTTTAAGACTTCAGGATGAGCAGGTCTCAAACTGTCCAACAATTAAAATCACATCTTCCAGATATTCTCTCATGATACCAGGTGACTCAGAAATTATTCCAAAGACCTTCAGGTGATCAGAGATGTCCAAAAACTTCACATGATATTTTTTCAAGTCTATTCAAGTTTTATTCTGTAGATCTTCAACTGTCCTAAAATTTAAGACACGCCTCTCAGATATTCACCCCCGATACCGGGTTGCTTGGAAATTGTTTCAAAGACCAGCAGGTGATCAGCGATCTCCATATTTTTTTTTTTTTTTTTTTTTTATATCTTTATTAAGGAGACTTTCAGCCGTTGGCTGGCTCGTCTCCGAATACCCCAGAGGGGGGTATTCCTAGGGGAAAAGGGGGTTTACAGAGTTTTTAGAATGTACAGAGTTTTGGTTTTTGAAACTTATGTTTCCTGTCTCAGCTAGCTGTCAAATTTTCATTTCAGAGGCTGTCTAAAGGACCCCGGTAGAGCCCCACCGGCAGAGGCTGCCAGGTGAACCTGGTAGTTCCTACCGGCAGGGGTTGCCAGGCCTGCTATCAAAATAGTATTTTTCGTGTTATAGTGACTAAATTCAGGACCCCGGTAGAGCCCCACCGGCAGAAACTGCCAGGTGACCCTGGCAGCCGCTGCCGGCAGGGTTGCCGGGTCTGCTATCAATATCGTATTTTAAATATTTTTGTAGATTCCTGCTTCCTTCGTAAAGCAGATGAGTTGGATCCGTGGAAACACGGGCAGTTGATAAGGATGTGCTCAACCGTCATCGTTGTTCGGCACGCGTCGCATCTCCTCCGGAAGCCTCCACCGCTGCTGCTTCCCATGTTGTGAGTAATCCGGGTGTGACCGGTTCGAAGTCTGGAGAGTATTCTCTGTTCCGCGTAACTTTTGGTGTCCGTCCATGGGGCCGTTTCCCCTTTGACCTTTCTAATGAAAAGCTCTTGGTTGCTGTTCCATTCGTTGCCCCATGCTGACCTGATGGTAGATTTTATCCAGACTTTCAGGTCTTGTCTGGGGACCGACTTGTGGTCAAGACGGCCGCTTCGTCCGGTGGCCGCGAGGTGGTCGGCTTCAATGTTACCGGCGATTCCGCAGTGGCCCGGTATCCACATGAAGGTGGTGCCGGGTTGTGTGTGCTTCTGGATGGCCTGAATCCACGGGATGGCGTGCAGTGGAAGATTCCAATGCAGCCAGAGCGCTGGCGGAGTCCGTGAGTATGCATAGAGGGGACGAGGATGGTAGGGAGGCCGCGTAATGTAGGGCTGCTGCTTCTGCTGAGAAGACCGAGCATTGGTCCGGGAGTTTCCAGAAATGGGATGTTCGGCCATCAGTTACTCCAAAACCTACTCGGCCCCTAGCCTTCGATCCGTCGGTGTATCGGAGTTAGAGTTATGATACATCGTTCTCAGTCGCTCGGTGAGGCAGGTTCTCATTTCCGCCGAGTTGTCCCCTGCTCTGAATCGGTTGGCCATGGTTCTATCTGATCGGATGGGGGAGGCATCCCACTCCCTGGCTCCGACCCAGTGGAGTTTAGCCACCGGAGGGAGCTCCTGGTGGGCGGTCTCTTGGAGAATTCGTTTCCCCTCCGAGAGGAGATAGAAATCTCCGTCTCCGCTGAGTTGCTCGTCGAGTCCCACGGCTCTCGTACAAACCGACTCCGCGATGAAATCTCCATAAATAATTAACAATCCAAACCACATCGCTAAGCTGGAGGATACTGAGATGTAAACACATATCTTCGGTAAGTTACCTTCAGGTTAAATAGGTACTATTCTGATGGTATCCAGCAATTCAAATTGCGTCTCTTAGAAAGGATTCCAAAGACTTTCAGGTGATCAAATATCTCCAAAAACTTCTATGGCCATTTTTTTTTTTTTTTTCAAATACTTCAGAAGTTCAGTAAGTATTATTCTAAAGATCTTCAACTGTCCAACAATATCCTCACCTTGGCTAGTTTTTGCACCTTGTTGTGGTGGGCGCACTTAATTTCAAGCTTTATAGTGGAGTGTTGGAGACGGTAGGTTTATGGCCGGCGTTGCTGGCACATGCCGCGATAGAATGGCGCCATGGGCAGGCGATGGGGATTACTAAGCTTCCCTTCTCCGATGAACCAAAGATCTAGTCTAGCAGTGATAGTATCACACTTGATTCTAAACTTGATTTTTTAAATGGCTGTATCTTTGATCGATTACTATGTTTTAAGATCCATTTTGGTTTATTTCTCATTCATTCTGGGCTAAAATTCATAATTATGAATAAAATTGCGCTAGAATGATATCCTTGCTGAGATCCAGAGATTACGTCCGGCCCGCGGGCCGCACGTTGGGCAACGCTGCAATAACAGCTGTTTCTAGTATGATTAATAATCAAAAGGTTATGTTTATAAACAAGCATTAATAGATTTCACTCAATTTAAGACGCATGGCCCTTTTGCCACACTGCAGTTAAAACAAAAAGTTTTGAGATGACATTTTAAAAAAAAATGACTAGATATAATTTAAATTACATTGCAGATGTATAAAGGTAATAATATGGACTTGCAATACGGTGTAGAAACTCCTATAAATACAACTATTTGGCATATATAGAAGGTACAATTGTTAAGGTGGCACTCTTGCCCCATCATACCCTACTCCAAATGATTATGCATATGTACCCCAGGTTTCCATTACAGGGTTAAGCACCGTTGATTTTAGTTCATACAACTTTAATCATGTCGTAACTAAATATAACAAGTCCTATAAATTCCACGCTACCCTTATGAAATGTATTTTACACTTATCTCTAATTCCCTGAGTCGCCTAAAATATACATCAAAAGCGTATAATTTCCACCTTTTCAAACTTTTATATAGGGATTTTTATTACATGAATTAAACAGCGCCTTTTCTGTGTGAAAAATAGTCCTTACTAAATCAGTATAGAGCTGGAAAAAGGACCTAAACGATTTTGTAAACAATAATTTTTCTCGATGATCTCTAGGAATTCAGGACACGCCCAAGCAAACCAACATAACCATCGGGTAGGGGGGAAGTCTTCCCTAGTGTTGACTTTCTAGAAATCATCTAGAAAAGGCATTGTTTACAAAGCTCTTAGGCCCTTTTTCCAGCTCTGTATTGATATGGTTAATTCTAATCAGCTGAAGCCAAAGCTGTCAATCAATATAGCTTATCAGCGTGACCCCGAAAGTCATGCCATGAAGTTGCACAGAGTGCATTGTCATAAAATCTCGATCAGTCGATCAACCTACTGCAACCTATTCGTAGAAAAACTAATATAGATATGAACTCTGGCACTGCATGCCTTAACTCACCTTTGCCTATAGCGCTGTAACTGTCGCTCAATACAAGAACTGGTTTCGACTAAGCTTGTACAATCCGCGTAAGTTGCACCGCTGGTTTGCGTTGAGTTGATTTGGATTTTTTCTCCTTCTGTTTCTTTACTCGTATGGCTGGCTCTAGCTACTACAGGTACGATCAAACAACCTCAAATGTACCACCGATGGATGGTTGCTCCGCTAGAGTTTATTAGACGAGGGTTATGGTACTGTGGCAATCAGGAAGTTCATTGACATTCCACCGAGTTTCAATGGCGAATGATTCGCTGGATCCTTTGAGTAACTTTTTTTTTTGGTCCTAAAAACACAAGGATAGAGGAAATTGCGTCAAGATTTTCGTTCGATGTCATTCGCAAATTAAAATCAAAATCCGCACTTTAAACTACAAAAATGCATTCAATGTATCAGCTGTCACAGGAAGAGGGGAAACTTCCAGAAAAGGACGGCAACAAAACAAGATTACTTTAATAATGGCGCTTCCGAAAAAGGAAAACACTTTTTCACGTCACTCTCTGCTAGTTACACTGTTGACTCTTTTGTTTTGTCGTCTCGAGTCGGAGAGCGCAAAGTGCGGATGTATATTGCCGCAATTGAGGGCGGGTGTCCTTCGGGTCAGATTGATTCCGTTAGATCGAACACAACAACGATTAGAGCGTACATCGACACACTACGAATACCGTTATTGGGAAAGAATTTTCACACCCTATAATATCTTCACCACCAAAAACAATATGATGCACGAGATGTGTGGCCAAGCAAATGTGTTGTGGCATTAGGAACTTTTATTTTGCGTATTTACTGCGCTCACACCGACCACACGACACCGAAACAAGGAGGAACCTCATTCTCATTCATGGGAAAATGTCATGACGTAGAAAACTGCGGATTTTTCATCATCGTCTTTACCGTTGTCTTCTGGGTTGCAATTTTTACACAAAATTCACTGCGGATCAATAACCAACACTTCACAGCTCAAATTATGCTTATATAATTGCACAAAAATACGTAAAATTGAACTCACTCTTGGGCAAGGTGCTTTTCTCTGTATGGCTGTCACACTATAATACAACACAGTAGTCGCTGCTGCTCATCGTCGATGTACAAATTTTTGCTTCAATATTTTTTTTTCGTCAGACGTCTAGTCGACTCTGGGTCGTTTTGTTCTCTCTGGTTGGTGCTTGGTGGACTTGTGTCGAATGAAAACAAACTGCCTCATGCACACACTGTTACATGTTATTTATTTATGCCAATGAAAATACGCATAACTACGTCGTTTTAAATCGTATATGTGAGAATGTGTGAGTATGTTGTGGCCCGCAGTGTAGCAAAGTGATTCATCAAAAATAGAGAATGGGTCGATGGCGGTAAACAACACATCGGTTCGTCGTTTCGCGCTCGTCGTCCATCTGACAGAACGGGCATAATATTCTCGAGTACTTTTTCAAAAGGAACAATGTAACATTTCCGCCATAATATGTATTAAGGAAAACCTCAAGAAAAACTAAGTTGAAATTCGACATGTTATTTTTTAGACTGCTTTAAAACAATATGTTAATCAAAACTATTTTCGCCGTAGTCAGTGAATAATAATGGTGAACATTCAGCAGCATTTTATTTTGAATTACGTGCTTATAGCTCGAGTATAGCCAGACAATATGGAAAAAATAAAAAATAAAATAAAAAAAGTTGTTGAATATTACATCCAAACAGCTGCACAGAGGTCATTCCGTCGGTTGTGTAATATTACGTTGTACGATGTACATTGATTTTGCTAACAAAATTACATCTATTGATGTAATATTGTATCTGCTTTTTGTTATTACATCATTATTTCATACATCAGCTTGAATTACGTTGATCGATATTACATTTTTTTTTGCTGTGTAGGTTTTTTTTTTCCCTTTATTATAGAGATTTTTAGCCATAGGCTAGTTTATCTCTTATTTGCTGTGTAGGGTTTATACATGCTATTTCAAAACTATCCAAATTTGGGTAGAATCCACCCAGATCGGTCAAAACTGAAACTCCCCAAAAATGAGTAAATTATGTTGGGAGTGACAAGTTGACAAATGAACAAAGTCGATCGGATTCATGTCGATGTTGTCCATTTGTCAACTTGTCACTCAAAACATAGTTTACCCATTTTTGGGTACACACTTAGAAAATAATACCGAACTCGGTTTAATTTTCTACCGAACCTCTTCGGTTGCCAATGAGAAACCGAATAAATGGTTTTAAAAAAAAATTCAGGCGTATTTATCGAATCAGACCCGAATTTCGGTAAAATAGTATAAATTTGACAGATAGAAATGAAAGCTGAACCGAAAAGTACGGTAAAGTATCGACATTTCCGAATTCGGTACGTGAAAACCGAGAAACTCGGTAAACAGAACCGAATATTCGCTAAAACATGTTAAACGTCAAACGCTTAAATGTCAAAAGTTCCACTTGCGCTCAACTTCGCGACGGAAATTTTAACCGAAAACTCGGTTCTCTAAACTGAGTCTAAAACTAGTCAGCCATTTTTTCTCGCGTGTGCTCGTCGGACGTGTGCAAAAATTAGGGGAAATTGGAAAAGTTCTGTAGCAACTGCAACAGGAGGATGCGTTATAGAGTGGATAAATGTAATGCCTTGTTCAGACTACAGAGTTATAACATGTTATAGTGCTATCTTGATGGTGGTTTCTGTATTGCAATTATTTGACAACCGTTATAACATGTTATAACTCTCCAGTCTGAACAAGGCCTAATAGCATAGAGGTAACTCTAAGACCACTGGGTCCCGAAGAAAATCATTATTATTTTTGGCTCACTCAGTACCAGAACAACGGTCCCAAGCAGTCCCAAGCTATTACACTCACCCCTGCATGTTCTGCATGAATCCACACACCCCTGATGTTATCTGTCAAACTTTCATAGCGAATCAAAACAAACATAGTGTAGTAATAGAATTTCAACTAGAATAGGATACGTTAATCGTTTGCTTGGGACCAATAGGCTACTAAAGTGGTGAGCCAATTTAAAATCGTTAGTTTCGTATTGATTGTTGCTAATAGTACGTTCAGACTACAGAGTTATAACAACAATCAATACGAAACTAACGATTTTAAATTGGCTCAAAGTTTGACAGATAACATCAGGGGTGTGTGGATTCATGCAGAACATGCAGGGGTAAATATGTATGTAAAAGAAACCACTCATTGCTGCAGGCACAACCATTAGACAGTGGACTGTCCTCCTCTTACGACTTGATCAAGTACAACACCTGATTGTATTCAATTTACCATTGTATGAAGGGCCAAAAACGGAGGGCAAACACCGACAAACCGACATGAATGATCATACAAAGTATCATCAAATTTCTGATCAAAGCACAAAACTGACATCTGCCGCCGTGTTCGCGAAAAATGTGTATCCTAGCCACGAAAATGTATGAGTTGGTTCGTGTCTAATCTATTCCGGGCAAAATATTTTTATCTAGATAACAAATTTCTATGGTTTTGACAGATGGGATCGCTGCACATTTGAATCCGCCGTTATGGATTCTCGATCAAGAGTTAAGTTTTAGTTTCATGTCGGTTTGTCGGTGGGGCAAACCCGTAAGCAGAGACACTTACGCTTAGTCCGCGGGATTAAGGCCTGTATAGAGATCGAAGCGAAGCGAAAACCTCATACAAAATAACTAAAATTTTCGCGCATGCAGCGCTAGTGAAAAGAGCAGCAGCTAAGCGAAAAGTTGACGTTTCGAGAAAGAGCGTATCTGTCAGATTTTCACTTCACCGGAGGTGTAAACTGATCGATTTCGTGTCACATGTACTGTAAACTGCGAAAAAAGGAAACTGGAAAATGTGCAACAAACATTTTTTTACAACCTTTTTCGCTAGTGAAATTTCATGATTTTTCGCGTGCTTCAAATTTCGTTTCACTTCGATCTGTATACTAGGCTTTAAGGAGAATCTCCTTCCAACGATAAAATCCTACAACCCGGTAAAGGCCTGTATGAGATCGAAGCGAAGCGAAAATCTCATACAAAGTACTAAATTTTTCACCTGCGTGAAAAACGCAATTGTCAAATTTTTCACTTCGCTTTGAACTGTAAACAGATACGATCCAGCGAAATCTAATTTTGTGGATCGCATCTTTTTCGCTTACGTTTATATTTTTTCGCGCATGCAGCGCTCGCGAAAAAAAACAGCAGCTAAGCGAAAAGTTGACGTTTCGGGAGAGCGTATCTGTCAGATTTTCACTTCACTGGAGGTGTAAACTGATCGATTTCGTTTCACATGAACTGTAAACTGTGAAAAAAGGAAACTGGAAAATTTTCCACAAACATTTTTTCACAACCTTTTTCGCTAGCGAAATTTCATGATTTTTCGCGTGCTTCAAATTTCGTTTCGCTTCGATCTGTATACTAGGCTTAATGGGTAAGCGATCGTATACGAAGGGATGTCCCAATGAGTGGGGAAGAAGAGCCCGCCTTCAATATATGATCTGGGGCCACATTGCGCATCTCAAAACGAAAGACTTTTTGTACGAACGGTTGTTTGAAAAAGTTTTTCGTTTCGAGATGCGCAATGTAGCGCAAAGTAGTTAACGACAGGAAGTTGGCAATTCCACTCTCCCCATTCAAATCGCTACAATCAGGTGCCCTGATGGTCCCATCCCTACCCTCATAATATGTACATATATGTTGTTGCGATAGTTTGGAAACAAAACACTGAAATTCTGCTAGCTGTTACTTACAGCTTCAAAGCTGCAATTTTATTTAGGTTTTAATTATATCGATACATAGGTATCCAATGTACTTACATTTCAGTATTAGAATAACAAATTTAGATTCCAATTATCTTATTTTCAACTTTAGATTTAGGTAGTGGTGAATCTAGGTTAGGAAACTAATTAGATCAAATTCTGAATGTAATAATACAAATGACTTACGGATTTATAATATTTAGATTTTACTAATCCAGACCACTATTCTAGTACTAAATAAAAGCAATTAGGTTTATATCAATATTAAATAATTCCACAAGCAGATGAATTTCACTTTGTGTTAACGTGGTTCTTAGAAAAACACTTCTGATTACTGTTTTCGATGTCAACGGTTGTCATTCCTGATACTATATGTCACTCGACCAAGTCGAGGGAGCGCCCGGTCGCACAATCGCCCGGTGACGACCCAGTGGTTGTCGCAACATTCCCCGACCCGTGTGGTCCGGGACTACCGAAGACGTCCAAGACAGCAATCTTCGCTGATGGTCGCAAGATGATCCCTTTCGCTGTTAGAATCCTAGCCTTCCTGACTTGTCCATCTTGAGCAACGCAAACCTCCGTGATCCTCCCTCTAATCCAGTGATTCCTCGCCGTATCATCAACCACGATCACAATGTCGCCTACCTGGAGTGGCTTCACCGGCTCGAACCATTTGGACCGTCTCGCCACCACCGGTAAGTACTCACGAGTCCATCGGCGCCAGAATTCGTCGATCTTCCATTGAGCTAGCTTCCAACTATCTCTGAGCGCGCTACGATGGTCTATTGGCTGCACTGCTGGTTGATTTACTCCCTGTGTCCCATACAACAGGAAGTGATTCGGCGTAAGTGCTTCTTGATCCGCCGAATCGAGAGCGATGTAGGTTAGAGGACGTGAGTTGACGACTGATTCGGCTTCTAGAACAATGGTTTCGAAAGTCTCCTCGTTCGGTTGTCGCAGTCCGTTCCCAATGGCAAACATGGCTGTTTTTACGGATCGTACCATCCGTTCCCATAGGCCACCCATGTGTGGTGCTGCAGGTGGATTGAAAATCCATTTTGTGCGCGCGTTGGTGAATGTCGAAGCGCAGTTTTCATTGATCTTCTTCATTTCCATCTTTAGTTGTCGATTCGCTCCAACGAAACAGGTACCGTTATCGCTGTATACTTCTAGAGGCGCCCCACGTCGTGCCACGAACCGCCGAAATGCCATTATGCACGATTGCGCCGATAGAGTGTGGACCACTTCCATATGCACCGCCCTGATGGTCAAGCAGGTGAATAAAGCCACCCAGCGCTTGACTTGGCTTCTTCCCACTTTGACCAACATCGGCCCGAAATAGTCAATACCAACGTACGAAAACGGCTTCACGAACGGAGTCAGCCGAGCTCTTGGTAACGGTGCCATCCGAGGGATCCGAGGAATCGCTTTGGAGTTCTTGCACCGCTGACATTCGGCAGCTACTTTTCTCACCAGCCGTCGCAAAGCAGGAATGTAGAACCTTTGCCTCATGTCATTGAAGACCGTCTCGTTGTTGGCGTGAAGCAGACGTTGATGGTAGCTGTCAGTAAGAAGGAAGGTTATCGGATGCTTTTTCGGCAAGATAATGGGGTACTTAGCTTCGTATGGGGCGAATGGAGCAGCCCCAATACGACTGCCCATTCTAATGACTCCCAATTGATCCATGAACGGCGACAGTTTATAAAGTGGACTCGATTTTTCCACCATCGGTTCGTTCTCTCCATCTCCTTTTGTCTTCAGTAGCAGATATTCCAGTGAAAACGCTTCCTCCTGCGCTTGCCGCCACAATAAGTTTTCCGCTTCAGCAAACTCTTCCGAAGACAGCTCTCTTCGGATTTTATAGTTCCCAGCTCGTTCCTTAAACAGTCTGGCAGCTTTACATACGTACGCAACTGTCCTGTGCAAGCGAAGCCAATTGGAGAAGCGGCTCACATCGACAACAGGGTCATGCACTACTTCCTGATGGTGAAACAACTGTCGCACTTGTTCTTCCGCAGTGTCTTGAGGCTTTCGGTGAACCGGCCATTCAGTTTCTGGTAAGCGAAGGAACTTGGGTCCGTTGAACCAGAGACTTTCCTTGCTGAAATCTGGACCAGCTTTCCATTTCGTGGCGTCGTCTGCTACATTCTGCCCTGATGGCACATACCTCCACTCGTCAACTTTGGAGGTGGAGAGAATTTCTCCAATACGAAATGCCACGTATTGATGATAACGGACGGCATCCGAATTTAACCAGGAAAGCACTGTCGACGAATCCGACCAGAATACCCTCCGGGTAGTTGGAAGCGTTAGATGCTGGCAAACATTTTCCATCAAGCGGGCTCCAATCAACGCCGCCTGCAATTCCAGTCTAGGTATAGATACGGGTTTCAAAGGGGCAACTTTGCTTTTGGCGATGATGAGGGAACACTCAACTCCACATTCACCTACTGTTCGCAGATAGATGGCCCCTGCATAAGCCTGTCGACTCGCATCCACAAATGCATGTAACTCCGATACCCTTGATTGATCCGAACGAGTACAACCCAGAAGACATCGTGGAATCTGGATTTCACCCAGATGTGTAAGGTACTCCTGCCATGCTCTCCAAGTGTGTTGCAAATGCTCAGGGATCAGTTCATCCCAGTTTGTCCCAGCTCGCCAAATATGTTGCATCAAAACTTTGCCGTGTATTATGAAGTGAGCTATCAACCCTAACGGATCAAAAATACTCATTATGATTCGAAGTACTTGCCTTTTTGTCGGAATTGACAGACGGCTATCCAGAGACGACAGCTCAGAGTTTGATGGAGACGTGAACGTGAATATATCACTACCGGGAATCCAGAACATTCCTAGAACTCGTTCCGACTCCGAATCCAGATTCAGATTCTTGTTAGAAACCTCCTGCAGTACTCCAAGATTATGTAAAACTTCCCTGGAATTCGATACAAACTGACAGATCTCAAATCCACCGCTGGCGTGGATATACTTCACCTGCTTCATCAGCTCAATCGCCTCGTCCACTGTGTCCACGCTGTCAAGGTAGTCATCGACATAGTGGTTGTTGGTGATTGCCTTCGCTGCTCGTGGAAACTCCTCAGAGAACTCCTCCGCATTTCTGTTCTTTACGAACTGCGCTATACACGGAGAGCAGGATGCCCCGAAAATGGCTACATCCATGACGTACACTTGCGGTGGATCCTCCGGGTTATCTCTCCACAAAAAACGCAAGAACTGTCTATCTGCTGCACGAATAATGATCTGGTGAAACATTTCTCGCAGATCTCCACCAATCGCTATATTTCTCTCGCGGAACCTTATCAGCACGGCGATGAGCGAAACCAGCAAATCTGGGCCTTTCAACAAAAGATCGTTGAAGCACAAACCCTCCACGGTTGCAGCTGCATCCCAAATCAAACGAACCTTGTTCGGTTTTTTGGGATTTTGGACCACCCCAAGTGGCAGATACCAGGTATGTCGCTGGTGCACGGAATCCAACTCAGTCTTCGATGCGCGATGTGCGTAGCCTTTGGATATGTAACTTTGAACCAATTCCTTAACCTTGACGTAGAGGTCTGGGTTCCGCAGCAAACGCTTTTCTAAGCATTTTAAACGACGGAGTGCAAGTGGATAAGTATCGGGAAGGTTATGTTCATCCTCCTTCCACAGAAGGCCGACTTCGAAACCAGTTGGAACGCGAATAGTTGTATTCTCGAGAATTTGATTAGCTCTCTTGTTATCCTCGGATTCCGGTTTCAATGTGATACACGACTCTTCGATGTTGAAAAATTGCTTCATCAGGTCATACAGCATTGCGTTGTCAGGAACTTGTTTCTCCTGGACCGTGTGAAAATGCAGCTGTTCCCTACCTTCAGGTTCCGAATGCCGGCCGTAGATGCTCCAACCAAGCCTGGTTTTAGCGGCTATGAGACCTCCATTACCTCCTTCTCTTATCTTTAACGCGCTGATCAGTTTCACGTTATCGACCCCAATGATGAGCCTTGGTCTGACATCGGAGTAACTTGTTATGGGCAAATGCTTGAGGTACGGATGTACATTGCAGATGTCCTCGTAGTTCAATGTCTGGCTCGGTAGCTTGAGGTGTTTGACCGTTCGTACGTTTGACAAAGAGTATCGTTGGTTCTTAGTTGTTCCAGAAACTATCAGCTGGATCCGTTGTGACTTTTCTTCGACCCTCGACACGTCACCTGTCCAGCAGAGATGCAGTGGTGCTTCTGGGCCTTCTACTCCAAGCCGTTCAGCTATCTCAGCGTCCATGATCGTCGACGTTGACCCGTCGTCCAGAAAGGCGAACACGTTTACCTCATTACCGTTTGCGTAGAGTGTAATCGGTAGGTAACGTAAAAGAGAGCAAGCTTTCAGAAAATGGTGGTTCTGATGAGCAATATTACTCGAATTCACTTGAGCTTTGGACGAACTGGGCTGATTGTTGCTTGGAGCTGCACAATGCAACAGTGAGTTGTGACGTAATCGGCAGTTCTCGTATACGCATTCCCTTTTGGAACGACACGGCCATGATTTGTGAGGCACCAAGCAAATGCGACACAAACCTTTCTCTCGGACTGCTTTCCATCGACCCTCAACGTCCAATCGTTTGAAAGAATAACAATCCATAATACGATGTCCAGCTTGACTACAGTAGGTGCAGGTTTTCACTGGTGACGATTCCGCCGAATCCTTAGGGGAAGTTTCCTGTCCTTTGCTAACCTGGTTCGCACTCGATCCCGTATGGTGAATAAATATTTTCTCCTTCTGATGTTTTTCACGCGTGTTCTTCTCCTGCCTGGCACACGCTGCATGCACTGGATCAACATGCATCGTCACATCGCTTGCCATTGCTACCAAGTCGGCCATAAACTCGGTGAAAGTGGCCAGGTTCACGTCTATCCTTGTTCGCTTGTAGTTTGCCCACTCAAGCTTGAAGTTCGGTGGCAATCTATCCACCAACTCGTAGAGCAACATAGGGTTCGACAGATGATGTTGTTGTTCTGCGACGACCATATGCTCGACCAGATTCTGTACAGCCATGCCATATCTGATCAACGTCTTCAGATCGTCCGCCTTCGGAGCAGGCACGTTACGCAGTTGCTTGAGTAAAGCGTTTATGATCACCTCCGGCCGGCCATACAATCGTTGTAGAGTGGCCATCACATGCGGAACTGATTCCGGGATCAAAAGTCGACTGCGCACAGCCTCCAAGGCGTGCCCTCGCAAACATCGCTGCAGACGTGCCAAATTTTCCGCATCGCTGTAGCCGCATACTTCGGTGGAGTTTCGAAATGAACTGTAAAAAATGGGCCAGTCTTGGGGATCTCCTGAAAAAATCGGCAGCTCTCGTGTTATCACTTGTCGGGCTGCGATTTGTACTGCATTAGGGCCCACGCAGCCTGTTGAATTACTTTGCCCCGACCCGTAAGCCGCTGACTGACGCGGTACGTCCATGTTTTGTGGTACGTACGGTCCATATCCTGACGGAGGAAGCCCTGGTACTTGTGTTTGGGTTAGTGTACGAGGAATAGTACCAGAATTCGTAAACTGCATTGTTCCAGCAGACGAGCTGATCGTTGGGAAACTGCGTGATATCGGCAAATCGGGCCCCGGCGGTGGCTCCGATGCCAACGAAGGAAACGCGGGAGGCACATGACAATCCCATGGTTCGAACCTAGGTTGTTGGTTCGTATTAGACGGCATAGCTGCTGGGATGATGTGCTCAGCCTGGTTAGGCCCCGGCGGTGGCACTAACGGCAATGAATCATTCACTGACTGAGTGTAATAACGCGAAGATTCCAGCCCCGGTGGTGGTTGTGGAACGAACGAAATACGTGACGGAGGTACGTGATACGCGCTGTTTACCGTAGGCGCTGTCGTTATGAGACCGATATCAGCATGATGAATGGTCTGCTTGGCCCTCGAGAAGCGTACTGACGTTGACGTCCCGAACTCGGTCCCGAATGCACTGTCGTTGTGTAATGGAACTGGCTTAGGAAGCGCTTCTGGCGCATACCTACTCGTATCGAAATCATACAGTGTCCATTGATTACGAGGGGGCACTGGTCTTGAGGAACTCATCATATCTACGTTGAGATCCATAGCAACACTCCTCGCTGGTTCAACTATTGTTGCTACATTACTTATAGCTGTTCTCGGTACGGGCTTGTAGTTGTTTGCTGCCATAGCACTGGGAATTGACGTCGGGGGCAGCACTGGCACCGACGGAATGGTCACTAGTGCGCTTGTAATTGGCCTCGGTGGTAGCGCTGATTTCGGCACTATTGACATTGTTGACGCGGACGAAACGATCGCGATGGTGTTGGGAACCGATACATCAGGTCCCGGCGGTGACACTGTTGTCATCGAATCGACCGCGACGAATCTATACCGCATACCAGGCCCCGACGATGACACTGGTACAAGCGTAAACGATGTACACTTTCCCTCAGATTCAGCTGTATTACCTGGAAGATCGCTGGATTCTGTTGAAGTATCTTTAGGAGTACTTGTTACTGTGGATTCCGGAGGAACCTGTACCGAAACGTTTGGTTCTTCTATCTGTCCTTCGGCAGTAACGACCAACGGTTGAGCGGTTACTTCAACATTGCTCGGCGAAGACTGTTGTGGATGATTACTGGACGACGCGGCAGCATTACTGTTTGCTCCTTCAGTCTGACCTCCTTTTTCAATCCATGACTCAGTGTTTTCCCGAACTATTCGTCGACTAACTCCACTCCTATTGCTGGCCTTGTCATCGTCACGATCAAGGTCCGCTTGAAGTAACTCAAACTTTTGCTTCAATAACTTTTCCTCTGCTTCCAATCGCATCCTCCTGAATCTTTCCTCATCGTCGATTTTCCTCTTCCAACTTCTTCAAACTTAATACCAGCTGAGCCGAGCTTCGGCTACTCCGGGATCCCTGGCTGGATCTTCTGGATACGCTTGAAATCATGTCATCCTTCTCTGTACACTGTTTACATAGGAAACTGCGATCAGGGTTAGCTATCGACTCGTTCACCCCTGCGCAGCTGAAGTGCACGAACTGATCACAACGATCACACTGCACTAAATCATCATCCGAATCAGGACAATCGCATACAATGCAATGCCTTGCGGTTACTTCACCTGGATTATGGGCAACATCCGTCGTAGAATCCTTAGTTTCATCCATCGTATTCCAAAAATGTCCTTTCGTTATCGAAATCGATGAAATCTTTGAAGAAATGTTGCGATAGTTTGGAAACAAAACACTGAAATTCTGCTAGCTGTAAGTAACAGCTAGCAGAATTTCAGTGTTTTGTTTCCAAACTATCGCAACATATGTTCAACAATAGTTATCTTGAAAAACTTACCCCTTACATTACGAACACAAGCACGAATCTTGATTTACGGCAACGCTTTTACCCCTTTTCCACTTTATTAAATCACTGTTCTCTCATCACGTTTAACTTCTTATTTTCGCTTGTCATACTTCTTCCCTTTTTTATTCTCATCTGATGACTCTCCTTCTGAAATTTCACTTTCTTCATTCTTATGTATTTCCTTTAATTTCCTTTTCATATTTTCCCTGTCCGTTGATAGTACCTCAAAACTCGCTCTATATCCATGTTATTAAATTTTTGGAAGTCTCACCTGCAAATTTTCTTAGCTGCTTTTTATCGACTCAGCATAACATTTTATAAGCTACGTTACACATGGATATTCTTCTGAATTGGTTTGCTTCTGATGCCCTTGCTTTCTTGGGAGTTGTTTTCTTCCATTCGTTAGGCATTTCATTTCTAATGTACACTTCCTGCATTATTTCTGCTAATCTTAATCTCAATTGAATATTCATCGGCACATTTAATATACTCTGCAAATATACGATCTGAGCCTGGTGACTTATGCTTTCAATTTCTTCTATTGTTGGTGGGTTTGTCAATGGGGTAAAATCATATTTTGAACCAAATTCTATTTCTGGACCCTTACAAGTTTTCAAAATATTATCCCAAACTCTATTACCAATAATCGCTGATTTCCTCTTCTTTTGCTTTACGAAATTTTTAAGATATTTGTGTGTTTTCCGTATTCTTGTACCTGTATCAAAATCTTTTATGTTTCTAAAAAATGTTATGATTTCCTTATGCTCCTTTACTGCTTGTTGATATTCATGTCTACGATGTCCTACTTTGTCCTTGTAATTCTGTTATCGCTTATCGCTTTTTTTTTTCCTGCGCGGTGGGAATCTTTGAGACTTTAATGGTTTTATGTGCAGCTCTTCTCATCCTACTAGCTAGTTCTTCATAACACTTGTCTAGTGTGTCTGTTTTAATATCTGTTTTAGTTGGTAAAGTTGATAGCTCTTCCCTATACTTTTTCCTTATTCCTGCATCCTTAAGTAAATCAATCTGCACTTTAGTAGCCTTTCTCCCCTATCTGATATTATTGGAATACTTTTCTAATACTAATCCAACTGTTATTAGTTTGTGATCCATCTTTAATTGTGTTACCGTTTGTAACATTTGTTGATGTATTTCTGTATGTTTATCGTATTCTGCATGTCCATTTGAATTTAAATAATAATTGCCAATTTGACAACCCTAACGGCGCCGGTGGTGTAGTGGTAAGCGTGATTACTTCTCACCCCAACAGGCCTGGGTTCAATCCCAGTCGGCGCCGCCGGGATGTTCTGAGGCATAACATCTCTGATCACGCCTTCCTTCGGATGGGAAGTAAAGCCGTTGGTCCCCGGTTCATGAGTTGATGGGTCCATAGGTAGGGTCCAGGTGTGGGAGCTGCCTTCCTGGCGCGTCGGTAGTATTGGTGCTCAGCACGGAAAACAAGATCGACGGTAAACAAACCAAAGGAAAAAAAAAAAAAAAAAAATTTGACAACCCTAGTTTTAGTACATTATACAGTACCACAGTTTACTACCAACTGCTGGGATAGGTGATGAGCCAACAATTTGAGTTCAGTTGAACATAAGATTCTATACGAGAAGTACAGAGAAAGGGAACGGTGAGTAGCACGGAAACTTCTTCCGCGACTTGCCAAGTAACCTTAAAGAAGAGCAGTTGAACAAGCTAAAAAAAACCGTTAAGTTTTCCTACTAAGTACGCTCGATCGAGGTGTTCGGCCAGATCACGCCGACAGGCCTTCCGTGGGCGATTGACCGTTGGAGAGCCAGTTCCGTTCGACGGCCCGGAGGAAAGGACCACTTTGAACCTTTCCGTTCCGAACGAGTTCCAACCGGTTTCGTAAACTGATCGTTCCCGCAGAGCCACAGAATCCTGAGAGGGACCCGCTAGTACCTCGTGTATAAGGTGCCGGGGCATAACCTCCTACCGAAGAAGACACCTCTCCACCGTCCACCATTGTGACTTGGCATACCTACTGGCGCCACCAAACGTCCTTACTCAACCACCGTCACCATCACCAACGCTGTAGTCTCCGGTGTAACCACGGCCAGCGTCACCGCCATAATCGCCGCCACAACTGATGTTAACAACGCCGAATCCACCACCAGCCCGTACAGCATCACCACCGCCGTATCAACCACCACCACGTGCAGCATCACCGCACAAAAGATCCAGCAGTCGCCGGCCGGCCAGGTATCTGGGGAAACTTCCACCTACACGATGATGGTGTTGGTTTGTGTGGGCGGCCTTCGATTTGTGATGAATGGGCTTTGGAACGGTTTGTTTACAAATGTTGATGGGCCCTTTTCTATTGTTGGTCCAGAATTGTGTGGCAAGTCCAATCATACTTCTATGCCCAGGGGAGTCGAGAAATTTTCCAACCCGAAAAATTCCTAGACCGGACCGGGAATTAAACCCAGCTACCTCCAGCATGGTCTTGCATTGTAACTGCGCCTTTACCAACTGAGCTAAGGGAGGCCCCGAAACCGGATCTGTCCAATCTGCGAATTTTTTTTTTCAGTATTTTATGTTAAAAATTATGTGACATCAACGTTTGAAATAAAAAATCATGATATGTTTATTTTAAAAATATTATTGGCAGCTTTGTAAACAAAAATACATGTTTTTATTTTATGCATGATTTTCATGTTTATTTTTAACGGTTTTTTATGTTTAGCATAGAAGTTAGCACGATTTTCTATTTATTATTGTAAATTATTTTCGAATGCGTGATAAAACAAATAAAAGTGCTCGATTAAAAAGGAATCATTCCTATGAATCAAAAATATTTATTATTTAGGAAATTGATTATTTAGAATGAATATTGATTATTTAGAAAATAACGAAATCAGTAAAACTCGAATGAACTGCTCATGTTTAAAAGAAGGAAGCACAGACAAACAGACATAACACATTGCATATTTCTCACTGTAAAACATCGTCGCTAAAACATTACCGCCATCTGTTGAGTACACTGTGGTGGGCACTACGCTGAACAGATGGAGATAGTGTGTAAACGTCAAACGCAAGGGAATAGACTATGCGCGCCACAGGTGACGGTACTACCAACAATCAATACGAAACTAACGATTTTAAATTGGCTCACCACTTTAGTAGCCTATTGGTCCCAAGCAAACGATTACCGTACCCTATTCTAGTCGAAATTCTAGTACTACGCAATGTTTGTTTTGATTCGCTATGAAAGTTTGACAGATAAAATGAGGGGTTATTGGTTTTTCCTATGTTTCGAGGGGTGAATCGATTAGCTTGGGACCGAAGAGAGTACCAGAGCTGAGCCAAAAAGTTGAGCACGTTATTTCGGGACCTTCTAGTCTTAGAGTTACCTCTATGGTACTACCAACTGCGATAAATTCCGTTAAATTCTTATTCTATGAACACCTTTCGAATGTTATGTCTGTTTGTCTGTGAAGGAAGCATTACATTTGAATAACTTGCCAGGTTGAAAGAATCCAACCTTCTTAATCTTTTTTCGAGACTGATTTCTAAATTTACTGAGCTTTGAGAAAAATTCAATACCGTAGAAAATGGTTTGTTCTTCGGTAAAATGACCCATTCGGCGAAATGACCCGTTCGGCAAAATGTCCCGCTCCCGATGATTAGATATATTAGGGCCAGCGCAGTATGAGCAACAGTATGAGTTCGCATTCTAATGAGCTCAAACTTTGGGAGAATTATCAGGACCTGATTTGAAATCAATTGAGCTTGGTGGAGCAAAAACGATATTTTGAAGCACCCTAATGGATATAGCGATATAGATTAGACCTGCTCATTTTTACAAAAAAAAATCTGGGTCCCACTGGTCAACTTCTTCTTCTTCTTTATTTTATTTAACGTCGGTCTCTGTTCCGCAATCTAGTGTCAATCACCGACGGACATCGATTCCCGCATAAACGCGAACCATCACATGACCTTACCGATAATGGTTATAAATTGTTTATAATCCCTGCTAAACTTCAACTGAAATGGTTATGGAACTTTACATGAACATTTGTGTGATAAAGTTTTAACCTTATGTATTATGGTTTTTTGGAAGCGGACCTTACAAATAATGGGTTGTTAAGAACCATTACCATTCCAAATTCTTGTTTTCTCCATACATTTTCGGAAAGAGAACTATATTAGAACGTTTTTACTTATGGTTTGAGAACATTAATGGTTATGGTTATGGTTATGGTAGTCAGTAAGGTGCCTTAATGGTTTTGTATTATCACTCAACTTTACGTGAAATATATCGTGAATTGGTAATCAGTAATTTACAGGCAACCAATTCGCGATATATTCCACATAAAGTTGATCGATGTTACAAAACCATTCATGGACCTTACTGGTTACCATAACCATTACCATTAATGTTCTCAAACCATAAGTTAAAAGGTTTTAGTATAGTTTTCATTCCGAAAATGTATTAAGAAAACAAGAATTTTGAATGGTAATGGTTCTTTATCTAGTTCGTTTATTTGGAAGGCTCAATCGTGTAATGGTTCTTAACAACCCATTATTTGTAAGGTCCACTTCCAAAAAACTATAATACTTAAGGTTAAAACTTTATCACACAAACGTTCATGTAAAGTTCCATAACCATTTCAGTTGAAGTTTAGCAGGGATTATAAACAATTTATAACCATTTTAGGTAAGGTAAATTTATGGTTCGCGCTTATGCGGGTTGCCATCCATTGAGGGCAATTGAATGTGCAGGAAGGCAGCTTCCACACCTGCATGGATATCGCACCCATTCAACACACATGGGCCGGGACCAACGGCTTTACTTCCCTTCCGAAGGAAGACGTGAACCCAGACCCATTGGGGTGAGAAAGTAGTCACGCTTACGACTACACCACCGGCGCCGGCACCACTGATCAACCAGAATTATTATTCTTGTTCCTCTAATCATCAGTCGTTAGTGAAAAGCAATATGCTACTTTGTTTTGTTAGTCTGATTGCCGCTCTTCCTGACTGGCCACTGACAAGGTCTATCCAGCTTTCCATGCTCGGTAATGGCGGCCTGTTTGTATGAATAAATGTATCCTTCACTGTACTTTTTGACACTAACTGGAGGGCGTATGTTGTTCCATTTTCTTCTGTTCCTGGGAGAGGGAAAGGGAGGGGTCAAAATCCGAACATCCAGATCATGGTGGGTATATAAATGGTGATACAGCTTTGTCACTATACACGGATAGAAATCTTCTTATACCTTTTGGCAAATTTCTATTGCTGATTATTCATAAAATGTATAAGTCAACTAATAAGCAGACGCCTTGCAAAAAGTTAATGAAGATCATGTGTTGAATGAAATGTATAAGCGGTCACACATACCTTTTCTGCATTCTTATAGGACCTATGTGGTTTGTCTTATGGAATGTATAAGGCTGATGTAATGGCAAAAATGTATAAGTGAAACACATGAATAAAATAATTGATTTTCGTTTCGTGTATAGGCGAGGAGGTCGCGGGGTGGAAAATGCGGTTTTAGAGCAAATTGTAAACAAACTCGGTCGCTGTCCCATACAAAAATCCAACATGGCTGAATCACGAATTTGACACATTAGAACACCTATATGTAGCCACCTTGATCCAGATAGTGTCAAAAAGCACAGTGAAGGATACATTTATTCATACAAACAGGCCGCCATTACCGAGCATGGAAAGCTGGATACCAACAGCAGCGTTTGACAATAGACAGAATGTCCCGGGCTCAAATCGTTTATTCTGCTGTGCTGGGCCCGCTGTCATAATATAACATGTTGCCTACACGAAACGAAAATCAATTATTTTATTCATGTGTTTCACTTATACATTTTTGCCAAAAGATCAGCCTTATACATTCCATAAGGCAAACCACATAGGTCCTATAAAAATGCATAAAAGGTATGTGTGATCGCTTATACATTTCATTCGACACATGGTCTTCATTAACTTTTTGCAAGGCGTCTGCTTATTAGTTGACTTATATATTTTATGAATAATCAGCAATAGAAATTTGCCAAACGGTATAAGGAAATTTCTATCCGTGTACGCGCCTGCCACTGGGCTGGTATTTTGCAATGAATTTTATCCATTACAACCTCCTTTTAGATTTTTATCAATTAATCTGTTTAAGACACATAAAAGATAAAAACTAAAGAGCCTGAATTTATAAAGAGACGACATCTTATCCATTTGTCAGGTCTTCTGATCGATTGGAATGACTTTTCATATGACTTTGACAGACAATCGATTGTTCCAATTTTGACATGTCGCCTCTTTATAAATTTAGGCTGTTTAATAAAAACTATGTTCGAACGAAATGTCGAGAAAAGTACAAGTAACATTATACCGTAATAGTACGTTCAGACTACAGAGTTATAACATGTTATAGCGCTATCTTGATGGTGGTTTCTGTGTTGCAATTATTTGACAACCGTTATAACATGTTATAACTCTCCAGTCTGGACAGCGTTTAACGTTCATGTTTTTATATTAGGGGCTGTTCATTAAATACGTAGACAGTTTTGGGAGGGGGTTTGGCAATTATCCACGGCCAGGCATGGAAAATCATTTGCATTCATTTCTTACATTCATTTGCATTCATTTGCCTCTAACTTTTTTCATCAACAACATTCCGCAAAATGATGTATAGAACTTTTGTAGGTTTTGTTATTGTCTACAACTGTTGCTCTTAACTCAAATCTGTATCTCTTATGCATCACGAACTAGAGTGGGCAGAACTTGTCACTGTTTTTCAGTGAATGTAAAATACATTCACTGAAAAACAGTAGTGGATTCTGTTCGCTCTGGTTCGTCATGCATAAGAGATACGGATTTGACTTGTTAGCAAAAGTTGTAGCTAATAACAAAACCTACAAAAGCTCTATACATCGTTTTGCGGAATGCTGTTGAAGAAAAAATTTAGAGGCAAATGAATGTAAATGAATGCACGAAATGAATGCAAATGATTTTCCATGCCTGTCCACGGCCCATTCAAATAAAAAAATGAGTATGTAAAAATAGGTTTAGGTAAACGTAAACTCAGTTTGTTCTGCCCACAAAAATATTTTTTTGATTTAAATGAACAAAATTCGCAGGGGAGGGGGAAGAGCAAGAATCTCAAAAAACTGTCTACGTAGTTAATGAACAGTCCTTTACAATGGCAAAAAATCGTAGGAAAAATACTGCAAAAAAAAATGCTTTTTTGGGATATTTCAGGCATAACATTTGATAACGGCACAAAAGCATTTGTAAACAAACTTTCTAAGGTCCTTTACACGCGAACCAAAGTACGCCCACGCAAACCAATACCACTTTCGGAAAGGTGATAGTTGCCCCTATCCGATGATGATGTTGGTTTGCGTGGGTGTACTTGGGTTCGCGTGTAAAGGCCCTTAGAAAGTTTGTTTGCAAATGCTTTTGTGCCGTTATCAAATGTTATGCCTGATTTCTAAGCAAAGCCAAATGGAGCTAAGCCAAAATACAATAAAATCATTCTAATTCGACACATTCTGTTTACAGATTTTTTATATATTATATTAAGCTTTAGTATGCTAGTTGTGACAGCAGTTTTCATGCTTTCAGTCACGAGATACAAATATTATAGGTCAGAAATTTACTGAATATCACAATGACTTGTAGCACATCTAAATCATCACCTGAAAACTTGTCCAGAAGCTCAACTTAACATTCGGAGATGAACTAGCCTGTGGCTAAAAATCTCCTTAATAAAGTATTAAAAAAAAAATCAACTTAACATGAGGAATAATAATTATGGTTGACCGCTCGGATCCCGAAAATTTTGTATTAACACGAACAGGTCTAATGTGTGGAATGAAAATTTGTTTTCAGTAGATAGATTCGATAGGCTAAGATTTTTCGAGTATCTGAAATGTGACTGAAGATTGTAAATTAAAAGAGCAGTGGGAAAACAAGGGTTGCAATTTAATTGACCCACCCTAATGCTTATATTCACGTTTTTTTTTGTAATTTTCATACAAAAATATAGCAAGTTATTCACCCATATCCTCGTTTACGAGAGCGGTTATATTTTCCATACACAAAAAAATTGTATGGGGAATACGCAGAGACCATAAGTGACGTTCGACTCGACTAACATAATAGGGCCCATAATCGTTCTTCCACAATCGCCGGTATCGCGTGATGCAATAATAATAACAATTATTGTACTATACCGAATAACGTGAGCAGTTAATTGGTTTCTTATTGATCAGAATTATTTTGCTAGCTACAAGTCAATAAAAAACACTTAGATGAAGAGGTCATCGTAACGTAACATGATTGATAACCTTCCTCAATGACAAAACACCTTTTGTGGGCAATGAAGAAAACAGTATTTTTAATTTAATCGGTCTTGCATTTTATCATTTATTGTTTCAACCTGATTCAGGACCACTTTTCTTATCATCTGAAAAGCACTGGCACACTTATCTCTTAAAAATGCTTAAAGTCAGTAATGAGTTATGGAATAAACGGGCTGGCAGCTTATTCGTACACCCAACCTTCGTTGGCTGGCGTCCACGAAACCAGTTCCTTTTCGGTAAACCAGAGGGCAATTTCCTTGTTGGCAGATTCGACGGCATCCGAACCGTGCAGGATGTTACGTCCGACCTGGACGCACAGATCTCCACGGATGGTTCCGGGGGCGGAATCGGCCGGGTTGGTGGCACCCAAGATCTGGCGACCGGTCTTGACGGCACCCAAGCCCTCCCAGACCATCGGGACAACTGGTCCGGAGCTCATGTAGCTGACTAGACCGGGGAAGAAGGGGCGGGCGGACAGATCAGCATAGTGCTTCTCAAGCAGGTCCTTGTCAGCCTGAAATGAACAACCGTTTTATATACATATTAACGGTGATATTTATAGATATTCACAGTTTTTACACCACGAGGTCCAAATTTTTCGCTACTTTGTTTTTCGTGGTTAGGTTTACTACTTATCACGCACGCAGTAACAGAAAGGTCGTACGTGGAAGACGAAGAGCAGAGAGAGAATAATCGATTGCGCTACTTACCCACATGAATTTCATGGCGACCAACTTGAAGCCCTTCTGTTCGAAGCGCTTGATGATCTTGCCGACGAGTCCACGCTGGACAGCGTCCGGTTTTACCATGATGAAGGTACGTTCCTTGTTGGCGGCCATCGCTGATGAAAATAATGAGAAAAATGCAAGAATCGATCCGATCATATAAAATGCACAACACGGAATGTTCGTCTGGCTACTGGCTGATGGTACGGAAAAGTTAATTTCGACCAGTGATGCCATATTTTTCATTTGAATTTTAAGATCCGCAAATATTTACCGATTTTCAGCTTAAAATGTCTGTATCAATCTGCTAATTTCCGCAAAATCTACAAAAAATTTGAATATTGTTTACAAAAATGTGGAATCTGTAACACAGATTTTTCTGTATCCACAATTGTCCAAATCTAAAAATCTGTATCATGCCAGATTAACCTTATATGTGGCGACACTGGTTTCGACGACGACCGGTGATGTTGCTGTGTTTTCTGAGCAGATGGATTTTCTCTCTTCTCTCTCAAATGGAAGCTTTTTAGCTCTTCCTACCGGCGTTTGGTTTGTGCAAGTGCGCACAGCAAAAAAAACAAAGTTTGTTGAATACAAGGGGCAAGACAACTTGCACGGACGATTAAACCAACTCAAACTGGAGTCGAGAACAAACATGAGGTATTTTTTACATGTAAATATTAGTTGTTTTAAATACTCAAATATTTTCGTTGGTATTTAGAAATATTTGATGATATTTTCAAATATATCCACACGGATCAGACCTCCTCGAAATTGAGTCGAGTCGACTCAATTACGTCAAAACTGAATTTACTCAAAAATAAGTTGATTTTTCCGGGCTTTTCCAGGAAAAGCTTCTCAAATATGAGCAAAATTCATAAAAACTATACATTAAATTAAATTCAAGTTCTTCTGAATTGATCGAGTAGTGGAACGTTATCTGCTAACGGGTTCTACTGAAGCTTATAACCTTGCAATTTATAGCGTTCATCTCCATACCATTGAAGACACTAGTTAGATACAGTTTTAAGGTCTTGTCGTAGAGCAGCGTAATCATGGCTGCACACCGTATATAAGCAATCCACAAGCCAACCAGGAAATCCAAATCGTTCTAAAGGCCGGCGCACAATGCATACGTTTTCGGGTTTTTTTTTACAGATAATGCATGGGCTAACTGTCAAAAAACCTGAAAACGTATCTATTGTGCGCCGGCCTTAACTTTGTAGCATTAACTCGTGCGGTACCTTGTCGAACGCTTTAGAAAAATCAATGTCTAGATACTGTCAACCTTGTCTTCAAGACAACTACCCAACTAACAATTTTAGCTGCAGATTAGCTTATACAGCCAAAAATTGGCTTATACAGCTAATTTTTGCCTGTATAAGCTAGTCTGCAGCTAAAATTGTTTGTTGGGTATTTAGTGAGCTAACATACGGCATGAGGTTTGTGATGGTTGAACGGTTCCTCACAAAACAATGCTGGGAATCGGAAATGACAACCCTAATATTCTGGCACCATAAACTAACGATATCATAGATGATACGACCATGCCTTATAAAGTTGGGATGACATCCTGAATTGGTGATTGGGCGCTTCTTATGGTTATTGTTTATGAGGGAAGGATACGGCAGGATACATTTTATCGTAAATCATCGATTCCAAGATCTTCGAGATGCAGCATAGAATCGAAATAGAACGATAATTGTCCACGCCGTGAGTGCTCCCAGATTTGTTTATCGGCGTTACCGCATCCAGTTTGAAAGACTCCCTCCTTTTCAAAAACGCATGAGGAAGCTTGGACCCTTAGACGAATCGATAGAGCTCGAAGCGTTTCTAACGTCTGCTATTGAGAATTTGAGAATGTAGGCCTTGAGAAGTTAATTGTGTACGATGGTGCTTTCCACCAGATTAAGGAAATCAGGTGCAGGAAATTTGAGTTTAGTTCACTCATAATCGCCAGATGTGCAGGAGCTCCCCTAATAAAATTGTTATGGTTATTTGCTTTAACGACGTGTTCTGGGTATAATCCAAACCATTGGTGGAATAGTTCAATCATTTGGGTTATCATGCGTTTATGGTATTTTTATTACCTCAAAAATCTGCCGGAAAATTGACGACAAATTTACTTAATCTAGGAGTAGCATAGACTAAGTGAATCTAATCTTTACTTTTTCATATTCGGGAACTTTTTCCTGAACGAACCTGGAAAAACATTAGGCAAATTCATCGCTGAGTTCCTGCACTTTATGTGATTTATGAGTTAACTAAACTCAAATTTGGGTCGTTCTCATTTGCCGTGTAGATTGTCCGAAGATTTTCCTCATATCCGAGAATTTTTTTTTCCTGGAAAATTCAGCTCACTTTTGACGAAATTCAGTCGACTCAACTCAATATTGAGTTGGTCTGATCGTCCGTGTATAAATTTGTGTTAGTGTATGCGTTCATTCGCGTGCAATGATTAGCAAAATTTTCCACAACGCGGCGCCCGACACTGGAGCTCCCAGCCGACACGAGTAGATCAGTGGCTAGAAAATTAGAAAATCGCGTGCGTGCGAACGCCAGTTTTGTCGACGTTGTTTTGGTGGTAAAATAATAATAATAAATTAAAATTGTATTTTGCAACGCTGTGCGTAAGGCCGACAACATAGTAGAAGCGATTCGAAGCGATTCGATGCTATAGCAATTGGCAAAGCGAAATGCAGCGGCAAGCGAAGCAACCTATGACATAGTGAAAGCGTTTTTGAAAACATTACAGTCGCGCGCGCAGTGCAAAATATTTGTTCAAATTTGTTATTCCTCACTAGAATCAGTCCACTTGCGTTCGAAGGCGTCAAAACACAACACGAACAGCTCTGTCGCTTTGCTGAACGCTTTACACCTCTTCGCATCGCTTTCACTATGGCTGGTTTGGGCGATTCCCATAGAACGCTCATAGAGGGTGCTTTCACGCAAGCGCTCCGCTTATTGCCAACGAATCGAATCGCTTCGAATCGCTTCTACTATGTTGTTGGCCTAAAACTTACGTGAGGAGTGCATTTTATCGACGTGGCAACGTGTCACTTGGAGAACAAAGTGAAAATACTTTTCGTGATCACACTTTCATCGGCAGTCGCATCGAAGTAGTGTTCTTTTTCTTTGCGCTACGTGTTTGAAGAGGTTTGCATATCGCCATCAATGCATGATGAAGGAAGGAAAGAGATAGATGAATCGTCAGTGCATGCGAGCGTGAAAAAGACAGGTGTGCGTTTTCACCAACACCAACCGTGTACGGTCAAAACTAACAATCAGCTGCAGCCTGCAGCAACTGCAATCGCCATCGCCCACCACACACACTGCCGAAAGCCGTAAAAAGAAGAAAACAATCGCATTTGGTTTTGCTGCTGGTGTATTTTGCCATTATCGATAGTCTGCTAGAAGAGAGGTATGAAAACGTTTGGTAGTTTTACTCGTAGCTCCGTTCGTTAGTTATATTTTTTTTGTTCTGTTACCGTGGTGATCAAGAAGAGAAGTGGAAAGTTTTAAAAATTTCGGTGAAAGATCCTTGAAAAGTTAGTGCGTGCGGTTACAATACGGAGAGATCCTGAAGGTCTTCGATAAAACAAAATAATAGCCCCCCAGGGACACAACGATGTCATCAGTGCAACTCGTTCTCGATTCAGACATTGGAAAATACCAGACATACCAAACAGTGTACTACATCGTAGCTGATAATAGTGATTCCGTGGCAGGCGGCGAAAGTTCGACGGAAATTTTACAAGTGCAAACGGTAGTACCCTTTTAGAGCTTGATTACATGTTACATTCTGTACTTCTCTCCACAAAAATAGTCGACCCCTGTAGTACCTTCAAGATACAATGACTCGATGATTCGCGGCAGTACTTCATTTTGAACAAAAATGATTGCTCGACTTGTTTTCTATTTACGGCTTCTGTGTGTTTGTACTGTATTATCCACCTCCCTGCTATCTGACTGTATTGTGTCGATTAGGTCACTGTCACATGGCGTGGGGCTTAAATTATGTTCAACCTGGGATGTTGGCTTGGTGCGGAAAGAACCACGATTTTGGAAATTTCCATCGCCATTGCCGTTTGTTTACCTTTTGTATTCAATGGGAGGATTAACCTCTAGTATGCGCAATTGTAAATCTTTTGAACTTATAAATTTGACGAGGATGTTAAACATCAACAAATCGAAGCTCAAATTTATTTGTGAATATTCAATAATTCTATAGTATTTTTAAATTTTTCATAAAATTAGCTTATTTTAGTAGTTTTTGTGAGACAGACGGATGCCATTTTAGGAGTCTTGCCGTCTGAGTTTGCTCGTTCACGATGGCTTGCAACAGCAGCAACAATTGAAAACTTTTTGCGGTCGTTGCCTATTGAAAATTTTCCCATTTTCATAGCATCAACCACAACGAACACTTACCCAAGCCGAAACCGTAACACATCCGTATCGGTTTTGATTGGCGCAAGCACACTCGTTGAAATTTGGTTTTACAATCCTACCCTACTCATACTAGGTAGGACTGATGTACTCGGAATCAAACTCTCGTTGTCGTCGTCATCGGGCACCGTACGACGATGTACGCAGGCACCACCGCACTCTGGCCAAGCTACTCTCTGCGTAATAGTTACAGTGGGGTGTTGTATTGGTGAATAAGAAGCAGTTTTAATATTAGCAGGCACTCAAAGAATGTACGGGAACTAAATTGAATAAATTATCAAACTTTTAAGGCTTAGACAGATCTGAGCATCGGATAGAAACCCTCCCCGTAACAGATGGAATTTGACCAATCAAAATTTTGCGAGATGATTTAATGAAGTAATGCTACACACTGGCTATCACGTTGTTAATCGAGAGTTTTCTTTGTCTGTAGCATTTTTGCATTCATATATTGTGTGGCAAGCACAATGACATCCTATTATCATAGATATCAAGAAATATGCAACCCGAAACATATGCTATACCGGACCGGGAATTGAACCCGCCTCCTTTAGCATGGCCTTGCTTTATTACTGCACCTTCATCGACTGCGCTAAGGCCTCTATAAATGGTGTTGAAAGAGACTGTTGTTGTCTAAAATTGCTGTGGAAAATTTTTGCTTCTCCTTCGGTTTCCATACACGAACCTATATGGAGTTGTTCATAAACCACGTAGACACCTGAGGGGGGAAGACGATATCCAAAAATTTGTATGGATGATTGTCTACGCAGTGAAGGGTGGGGGATCTAACCCCCCCCCCCCCCCTAAAACGATCTATGTAGTTTATGAACAGCCCTTATAATATTCATGTAAGTACCGATTAAGTACGTCACGTTCTACGGTGGGAGGGGAGTTACAAACGTGTGACAAGCTATGCATTAGCTATATAGAAAACGTAACGAAAGGGGGAGGGGGATTGATATTCCCTAAACTTTGCGATACGTAATTAATGCCTGCTCTCTTACCTATTTTACTTCCCCTACTACCCAAAACGTGTGCTACACTCATCCTTCCTGTCCCACGCTGGAGATTTTCCATAAAAGTGTTTACCGTTCGCTTATAGGTATCTCCATTCCATGTCTGCTAGGTACTTATTTTCAACAAACTCAGTTTTCTAGTTTATGATTTAAAAATGTACCAAATCAACATAAGGGACAAGTGGAGTAAGAGTGCCACCCCCAATAATTGATGAAGAGAATCGATCAAAGCAAATAGGACCATTTGAAATGTTCATCGAGATATGTTCAATAATAGCTCACCCATGAAACTATGAATGGGTGTTCCTAGGCAGCATTATAGAAAGTCTTACAAAAGTTGCAAAAAATCAGTTTGTGCTGATGTGTCGAAACTCTAAATTATTTATAATAATTAGAAATCATAAAATAAAAGTTTTTGAAAATTCTTACAATGACCGCATTGAGGTATCCCTATTAATGATTAATTGAAACATTAATAACAAAGAATAAGTAAATAGCTTTGACATTTTGAAAATCACCTCTTTAAAAATGAATCTCACATGGGGCAAGAGCGTCACCCTTACATTTATGAATAAAATTAATCAAAAATGACAAAGAAATTGTTTCATTGTGCATTTCAGTCTTCGGTAAGTTTGTTTTCACCATATTTCGCAAAACCAGCTACATAAAATATCATCAACAATAGTTCAACTTCCCCTTCAAGGGATGGTTCGTTGAGACTGAGATTCATCTTTGTTCTAGTTAATTGGTTAATTCTAATATCATGATTGTGTTTAGCGCTTATTTACAGGATACCCTTTTAAGGGCTTGTTTTTATTGAATTTAAAAATTTGATAACTTACCTACTTAATCTAAAGCTTAACCTAACGTGCCAGATTCCTAATGATCAGCTGATCGGATTGCCTACAACAGGGCTGGTAGCAGGTCACTTTTTAGTGACTTGGTCACTATTTTCACGTCAGTCACTAAAAAGTCACTTTTTTCACCTAAAAGTCACTATAGTCACTATTTCTTAAAATTTAGTCACTAAAGTCACTTTTTTACGACTAATAATGTCAAGAGTTAATAATTTTCATTTAAAAAATCACATCAAGGAACAGCTCGCTTTGTTAAAAAATTGTTTAAAAGTTTCATTAAAAATCAGCTTCTAAAGTCCGACAAAGAAGAGTTGCGAACAGACCAGAACTGTCCAATTGGTGCTGATGAAATCACTAATATTTTTTTTTCATCCGTGATTTATACATTCAGGTCCGTTCTCTTCGATTTTTTTCCAGACAAAATTATAAAATTTCTAAGTTTCTTTTGTCTTGTGATCTTGAAATAGTAAAAGAAAATTTATTCGCAAATTTTCTGAGGTTTCGATAAAAAAAATCTGATTTCAACATCCTGACTTCTTTACTTTGTGATTCCAAGTCTAAGATATTTAAAAAAATGGTCTAGGAAAATTTACTAATTTAAATTTTTCAAGGACTGTGAACTTACATTCCCTATATTCAAAATATGAAAATTATTCCGGGCCGCACAAGTTTCTTAACTTGTTTGTCTTAGAGATTTTGATATCCCGGAATGTTTCAATTTTTTTTTTCGATTTCCAGATGTTAAGTTCGAGACACATGCAAACTGTTGTAGCCTCACTTTTTACCTGTGCATCAACTTTCAAAACTAGATTTAATGCCATATTCATACTCTAATCGGTTGAGAAATACACTTAATCTTCTAGTTTACTTGATATCTATCCATGGAAAGCAATATTTTGATAATTGTTTATGTTTTGAGAGTTGGTGCACAGGTAGATTGAGGTTAAGGCGACGCCACTGCATTTATTCATATATGAGTGAAAATTACGCATCTTTGAGTAAAAATTTACTCATTTCTGTGACTTACGTTTTTGCGAATTTAAGTGAACTTGACTCAAATATGAGTCAGATTAATTTGCCGTGTGTATTCACGATCCCTCCATCTTGGAAAATTTTCCTCGTTCCAGAATAATGAGATTTTTTTTTGGACCGCTATCTAGAAAAGTTGTGTAGCTACTAAAGCATACAAATCTGAGGTTTTTCAAAAGTTTCTATATCCGAGGTCTTTAAAATTTATTGTCTAAAAATTGTCAACATTTGCCTTGTTATTATTATTTGATTACCTAATAAGGCATAAGGAAGATGCAAATAATATTTTCATTTTTTGTCCGACATCACTCAAATAGGACGAGTGAGTAACTCATTTAATGATAAATTCATAAATCAATAATAAAAAAAAATGTATACTTTAAGGATAAAGCGTAGAGTGGAAAATAATTTTAAAAAGAGCTAAATTTTCAAATTTTGGGTGACACAAAACAAAAATCAAATTAGCATTTGTCATAATCATGGTGACCAGCAAATCCCAATTTGTAATTTCCCGGGGCTTTCCCAAAATTTTGGTAACTCTCCCGGTTGATTTGAGCCAAGGAAATTTCTGATAACTAAATTAAAACCCATTTAGCTCAGTGATCTCTTCGGCTATATATGCTTAATTTAAATGTATATTTCACAACAGGGAAATACCCATTTTTTTTAAATCGTTAGCTTCTTATCAAGAAGTCATTAAGATTTTTCGATGTTTTAACTATATTGAAAAAAGTTCGCTCAAAACTCTTTACAGGATTTTTATGAAATGTTCTCAAATTTCCTTTAGAATTATTTCCTATCACAGAGTTATTTTCAGAGTTTCTCTTAAATTAATTTGAGCTTCTCTCCGAGAGACCGTTGAAAATGTCTCAGCATTTCAGAAAAAAAAATCGAAGAATTCATCCTAAGATTCGCTTCGAAAAAACTTACTTACCCTAATAAAAATTGTATGGTTAATTTGCTTAACGACGTGTTCTGGGTATCATCCAAACCATTTGTGGAATATTTCAATGTTTTGGGTTATCGTTCGTTTATGGTTATTTTTATTAGGGTAAACTTACTCTTTACATTCT